TCTCATGTCTTCCCACAATTCCCTGAGAAAAATACATATCAGTTAAGATTTTAAGTCCCAAACAACAACGGCTTAAGGAAGATAAAAGTTTGTTTCTCTATTGTGTAAGGTGGTCTGGGGCTGGCGGAGCTGCTCCACCATCAAAAGAAATCCGAGCTCCTATTGTCCTGCCCACCAGCCCAGTGTGTAGCTTCAGTCCTCAAGCTCACCTCTGGTCCAGGCTGCTGGTGCTCCAACCATCAGGACTGCGCCTCAGATAAGAGGAGAGGAGAGGGGGAGGCGAACGGGGGCCAGCGCCCGGTCGGCCAGCTTCCCCATTTTCCTGACCTGACATTTCTTCTAACATATCGTGGCCCAGGACCTGGTCACATGCAGTACCTTAATATCAAGGGAGTCTGGGAAATGTGATCTTTATATGGTTGCATTGCTACCCCAAATGGTGTGTGTGTGTGTTTAAAAAGGCTGTGCATTCTTTGACACTCTTTCCATCAAGAGGTGAGGCCTATGACCACAAACCCCCGGAATCTGGGCTGGGATCTGTGACTACTTGGACCGTAGAATCGGATGGAAGTAGAGCGTCTATACTGCGATTTTCCATGCCAGGTCATAAAAGGCCACGCAGCTTCTCCCTGTTTGGCATGAAACCAGGGCCAGCTTCATGGGTGTGTGACCTATTTAAGTGCACATGACCCTGTGCCAGAGGGTTCTTCACTTATTTTAATGCTCTGCTGTGGTCTTGGAATTTTTTATGATTTTATCTTTAAATGTGTGTATTGTAAGAGAAGCCTGATGGGACAGTGAAGATGTGCCTCTGCGGAAGATACGTGCGCACTAGTTCCTTGCCCCTCTATTATGTGCACTCCCGATGCCTGCTACACGGCTTCCATTAACACGCTTATCTTGCACGTGGGGCCCCATGCTCAGAAGGGTTCTTCTTTTAATGCTCTGCTGTCACCATCTTGAAATTTTTAATTTAATCTTTGAACTTGTGTGTTGGAAGTGAAGTCCGATGGGGCAAAGGCTCATTCCTTTGGGCAGAAGGGATGCGCACGATATGGGTGTCCCCCACTCACATGCAGCGGTCACAATGCCCCATGAGCGTAGAATCGGGGTGAACCCATAATGCACGGACACTCAGGGAGACTCAAAGCGGGTACAAGGGAAGCCTGTGATGTCTATGGTTAAGTTGGGGCACAGTCCAAAGAGGCCGTGCTTTTTGGTTTGAACTAAAAGTTCCTTTGGTCACAGAGAAAAAGGCAGTGGCATTCTAAGAAACACAGACAACCAAGGAAGCTTTATCATATCCTCTCTTATGTTACTTTCCTGTGTTAGCCAACCACTTACACTAAAAGTGATGACATAGAAAGGGAAGCATAGGGCATCCCATTGTTCCCTTTCCTTTCAGTCTTCCTTACTCATCAGTAAGTAGGAAGTAGAGAGTGTTGATAGAACGTGTGCATATCAGGAAGTGAACTAAAAGCAATTTGGTTAGTTTGGTGCAGCATTTCCACTGTTCTGGTGAGAGTGAAATATACACACATGCATGACTATAAAATACCAGTGATTCTACGTAGAGTTAAATGCTCTTACATGTGCATTTAATACCATCATTGCACAATATAAAGATGAATGGTAAAACTCATGCACATAATTTGAATTTTAAATTTTTCTTACAACAATTTAGCAGTAAATAAAAAAACCCACCATGACAGGTTGAGAGAGAGAGAGAGTAGAAGAAGGGAAAAAGCTTTATATTTCAGTAACCACACTGGCACTTTTTTTCCTACTGTTTGAACAAGGGGCCCCACATTTTTATTTTGCACTGGGCCCTGCAAATTATGTTGCTGGCCCTGTTGGGAATGCTTGCAGTCAGGATGCTTCCTCTTGGAACCCAGTCTTCATGTTGTGAGGAAGCCGCATGGAGAGGGCATGTGTAGGCACTCCAGTCAACAGTCCTGCCCAAGCCCAGCCTTTGAGTCATCCAGCTCAGGTGACAGAAATAAAGCCTCCAGATGATTCCATTCCCACTTCTCCCTGCCTTCCCCAACCCCATCCCAACTTCCAGACACCTCCATCCATCTGGGTCCTCCAGCGGAGGCCCAGCCCTCACGGAGTAGAGACAAGCCATCCCCTCAGTGCCCTGTCTGAGTCCCTGGCCCACAGAATCTGTGAGCAAAATGAAATATATTGTTGTTTTTTGCCACTAAGATGGATATGCAGAAATAAATGTACCACAGTTTGTTCACTTGGGCCAATCCCCATCTTTTGTTAACACAAGTGAAGTTGCACTAAATGAAGTGCATGGTTATATATAGTGAAGGCAGAATTCTAGAAATGAGGGTTACGGTGTCAAAGGGTAAATGTGTATGATTTTTTTTTTTTTTTTAGCTATTGCCAAATTCCTCTGTAAACTTAATTTTTCTCCAAATAGCTTTCTTTGTGTTTGCAGTATGTTTGTATTTGTATAATGCCCACTCTCCAATATGCCCCACGTACAGAGAAACATACGTAGAGAAAAGTGCCCAAATAAAGGTACCACTTGATGAATTCTTCCAACAAAACTTGGGTGCGTAACCCTCATGTGTCAAGAAATTAACACTCCTAGCACCTCAAAAGCTGCCCTGGTCCCCCTTCCCAGGGAACACTCACTTCCATGGTATGAGTGGATCATTGTTTATCCACTTTCCTCTTGACGTTTCTAGGTCGGAGCTAATGTGTGCTGTACTCCGTGGCTGCTGTATGGTCTACAGAACCTGTTGCAAATTTAAAAAACGTGGTTTTGGCCAGCCTGCCCCTCTAGTCTGTTAAGCTCTATGAGTACAGAACTGGGGATGTGTCTCTTGTTCACTGCTCCATCCCCATCGCCCATCCAGGCCTTGACCCAGGTGGATCCTCAATGCGCAGCGGCTGTGTGAGTAAATGAACGAGTGCACGAATGACTGCGCCAGGCCTGGATGTCCCCATCACATCGGCCTCGCCTCACTTCCCTGTGGCCTAGATCCCAGTCTCCTTACTGTGCAGACGTGGAAAGGGAGGCTCCGGGAGGGCTCACAGGAAGGGCGGGAGTGTGCTGGATACTATAGGCCTTTGGACTTCCCTGCCCTCAGGCCACACGAGAACATCAGCTGTGTGTCCCCACATTAGTCTAACATAAGAAAGTAACATTTATGCTGGACATAGCCTGGACCAGACTCCATTCTCTGAAGGGCTGCGGCATCAAATGATGCTGCTGGTGTTGCCAAGGCAACGCTGATAGCTTTCTGAAGCGTTTTTAAATGGGAGAGGTGATGGCTCACACAGACATGGAGAGGTGGAAAATCTGGAAAAAGGGGTCAAATCCCCCAGCCACCAAGACAGTCTGTCCTGATGCTGGCTGCTCCTCCGCTCCCTGCAAAGGGCCACCTTCCACCTCACCCATGGCTGTGGTCTCGGGTGTGCACAGTGAACTCTACCCCAGCGTGGAGATTACCTTTGCTAGGAACATGAGGAGATCTCAGGAACATTGTGCTCTGTCCGTCTGGCTCCATCAGCACCTACCAGCTGCCAGTGGGAAAGACAGACAGGTCTTGGAGAGCTTTCCAGAAAGTTCCTTCAGCACTTGATATTGGTGGAGGCGACACCGCTCCAGCATTTTTCTGGTCGGTGCCAAGATGCCTCCAGAGAGCTCTGGACAAGGGAGGCAGCTTATAGATACATGTGCACTGTAGGTGGTGATTGGCTGTGCCGCCTTAAATGAAACCCTTTCCCTCTCTGAGCTCTAACTTCTTTATCATTAAAATGGGGAGAACACTGGTCTGATGTAGGGAGAGGTTGCAAGGATTCTGCATTGGAGCCTGCAGATGCAGGTGTCCCAGAAGCCAGTTCTTATGAGCTGTGGGCCCCAGGAGACCCAGCCAGGGCCAAGAGCACAGCAGCCATGGCCCCCGCAAGGCCTTGTGCTGCCCGGAGTCCTTCAGCTGGTCTTGTCTGCAGCCATAATGAGTCAGCATCATTGTCAGGGGGCTCTAAGATGTCCACAGGCGTTCTCTCCTTATTGTGCAGATGGAAAATGGAGATCAGAGAGGGCCGGGGGCTGTTCCAGGGACAGAGCCAGTACAATGAAAGGGTCTGACATTTCCTGAGCAGGACGCAGCTATGTCCTTGGTAGTATGGGGCAACCTGGGAATGAGCTGGAGCCTGGGGCCAGGCCTTGGGGCCAGGGAGAATGGGAGAGGAGGCAGAGATGGAGAGAAAAGAGACGATGGAGAAAAAGTGATCACTGGTTCTTGCCTTCCCAGCATCGTTGCTTCTGGAAACAACATCTGTTTCCCCTGCTTGTTCCTGTGACTTGGGTGGGACTGACCCCACCCCCTGATTCCAGGCATGATCATGTGACCCCAGTCTGGGCAGTCAGAATCACAGTGATAAATGCAGGAATGAACACAGGACCAGTCCTGGCTTGAGAGAATCACACTTTTGCTGGGACAGGGGACCTCTCTGTCTTAGAGATGCTGAGCTGGGGGGACATGAGTCAAGGGCTGGTGGGGTCCTCTTGTCAGGACAGAACATGACTGGGATTGAAGTCAACATGGCAGATGGCAGAACTGAGAGATGAAAAGGGACATCACCTGAGCCCCTGGATCTAACCACACCTGAATCCACTTCTACACTTCTTGTTATGTGACCCAATCCACTCCTTGGGGAAGGTTTCTGTGCCTTGCACTGGAGAGACCTGGCTTGGAGGAGGAAGGCAGGTGAGAGGGAAGGATGGCTATTTAAGAACAGGTGTCTGAGGGTAACGCAAATCAGCTTCTTGGCCATTTTGGAGAACTGGAGTGCAGACAGGAATTTGGGCCTTCACCCCTTCCAGAGGAATCTGTCCCTGGGGCCTACAGCTTTGCCCTCATCTCTCCAGCACACAGCAGTATAAAAATAAATGCTGTGAACACGGCAATAAATGCTTATCTTACCTGGGTCCGGGAGAAGAGATGACATGCACTAGAGTTCGATTTCTCACCTCATTCACCTTTTGGGAAATAATATTTATTAGGCACCTGCTTCATGCCAGGCTTTGTTCAGAGGTTGATATACATGGTCTCATCTCCTTGCCACAGCCCAGAGAGGAGTGAGTGTCATCACCTCCATTTCACAGACAAGACAACTGAGGTCTTGAGAGGCTGAGCCATGGGCCTCAAGTCCAAAGAACTGGAGCAGGTCTGTCCGACTCCAAGTCCTGCCCATGGTACCACAGTGTACACAGTAGGCCTCATTGGGACTGAAGAAGGTGACATGTGATTGGGGTGGTGGCAGAGTGGCTGTGGTCCCTCTCTGACCTTGTTTTCTGAAAGAAGCTCATGAGGAGCCCCTGGTCTCCCAGGACCTCAGCTGTAACATCATGTTGGATGGGGCAGGAGGAGAGGGCTAGGGGTTCTGGCTTAGACCTGGGAGGATCTGGACCTGGAGACTGATGTCCTGCCCAAGGCAGTGTGGACAGTTCCTGGCAGTGCCTGTACTTGAGCCAGGGTTAGATGGGCTTACAGGGAGTGCTGAGGGAAGCCCTAGGCAGAGAGCTGGCTTCCTGGGGCCAGAAGGAACCTTGGAGAACACTTGCTCAGAGCAGACGGGAAACTTAGTTCTAGACCCTTCTTCAGGGATGGTGTGTGTCTCTTTTAACCCAAAGTTCCTTTCCAGTTGTGGTTGGAGACTGTTTGAGACCTTCACTGTGGCTTTTGTAGCCAGAATGGATGAGTTGCTGGGGTTGCGGGATAGTGCCCTGGGGTCCTCATGACACCGAGGACAAGCTTTCTCCAAGGGCATCCACAGCCCAGAGAGATGCTCTGGAATCTACAGGGCCCATTTTCAAATAAGTAAATTTGGAGAAAGCTGCCCACTGTAGCCCCTTCATGGGCAGTCACAAAGTACATGATCACATTAAAGGCTCTGGCAAGTCCTGCAGCTAAGAATGCCTGTTGACATTGATTTAACCTGGTGCTTCTTTTTCTCACCTGACCATTGGTACTTTGAGATCGGAGTCTGAGTTATTCTCTGTGGACATTCTGGGACAGGCTGGGGGTAAAGAAAATCTCTCTTAGATCTCCTGGAGCCCCTGAGAGACCAAGGCTGAGCTCCAGATGCTGGGGCCTAGGAGTGGTGGACAGTGTGGGATGGAAATAATGATTCCTATTATGGGATAGATGCAGCCCCTTAAGACTTGAACAGAGAGTTCAAGGACATCTCAAGGCTGAGAAAGCTTGGAACAGGCGATGGCCTTCCCACCAACCCTGGGGACAGAATATGGGTCTCCATCTGAGCAGTTTCCTGCCTGCAAATACCTCCCCACCTGCCTGAAATGCTACCACTAGACAAGTATTCTTTTGAGGAGCCAAGTTGTCTGCTCTCAGCTCATTCAGGGTATTTTGACCCTCAAGCTGGCAGGGGCCCCTGCCAAAGACTGGAGGGAAGAGGAAAGAGGGGTTCTGCAGAGACAGGAAGCCCCAAATGCCCACCATGTCACAACTTGAGGGTGCCAGGGAGGCAGCTGACTCTTGGGAACTCCTGGGGCAAGGAGGGCTGGCTCAGGAGATCCAGGTGTCCAGGCCCAGGCCCTGGCGCTGTGTCCTGTGTTTGGGTCCAGCTTGTCCAGGGAATACTAAGTCCTGTCTCCTCTGTAGGTCCAGCCTCCATGCGTGGCTGCTGTTAGATGCCAAGGGGACGCATCATCATGCGAGTGGCACGCAGAGAGTAGGCGGGTCCCTGGAAGTAGTGCCAGCGGATGCCGTTGACCTTGCGCAGATGCTGGCCAGCTTGGTAGTAGATGCCGTTGAGGTTTGAGAGGCCGCAGGCATCAAACCACCACCCTGGTAGAGGGGAGGAAGAGGCTTTGAGGAGCTGGAGGCCCACCAGTGGTTTGAGTGCAGCCCCTTACCCCAAAGACTAATCAGGCTGTTGCCTCCTCCAGGAAGCCTGCTCACAGGAGACGGGGCTGGGTGGAAGTGGGTATGGAGGGTGGGAAGGAGACTCCCAGACCCTCTGCCCAGCCTGGAGCCTCTAGAGGGTGGCACTGGGCTCCAGCTGCCCCTCTTGGCCCCTCCACCCCTTCTTCTTTCCCCTAATCCCTCTAAGTCCCTGCCTCCCTCCCTCGCCGTCTCTCTCTGTGGGTTTCTAATGCTCTCTGTCATTCTGAGTCTTTAACAGCCTGGGGTTGTCCCGTTTTTCTCTCTGATGGTCTCTGTGCTTGTCTGCCACTCTGTGGGTCTCTCTCAGATGTGCTCAGCTCTCTCTGATGGCTACTGTCTCTGTCTTTCTGGGTCCGTCAGTCTCTCACGCCCTGTGTTCCTCTCTGTCTTTCCCTGCCCCGCATTTCTCTCCCCTTCTCTCCCTTTGTGCTTCTGTCTCTGTGTAGCTCTCTGTCTCTGTGCCAGTTCTGGTATTTCTCTCTGTCTCCCTCTGTCCTTGCCTCTTTGTCTCAGGGCGTCTCTCCTGTCTCCCACCTGTGGGTGAACGGGGCTTCCCTGAACCCGCACCCACCTCCAGACAGCATCTGGGCGCACTTGCAGTGGCAGTTGTCATTGTCTGCGTCGCGGGTGCTGAAGTTGGTGCCCTGCAGGATCAGGCCACTCTGACGCCCCGCCGAGCCGCTGTACCCTCTCAGAGCAAGCCTGGAAGCCCGGGGGTGGTGGGAGAAGGGCCCAGAGTCAGGTTGGGCCTGGCTGGGGAAGGGGCTCAGGTCCGGTTGTTCAGAAGGGGAGCCCCTGCCTGGGGTCTGGGCCATCTCCCCTCCTGGGTGGCCCTCCCCGCCTGCTGCCTCTCAGGGACTGAGCACCCGCTGTAGGCCAGGCCTCCCTCGTCTCGCTGAACCTGTCTTACACCGGAGTGAGCATGATCGTGATAACAATAGTGAGGACAGTGGCTAACATTTCAAAAAACATCTACCATACCATGTGCCAGGCATTGTTCAAAACACTATGCATGGGTTAGCTCATCTCATTTAATCCTCATGACACCCAATTATTCCCATTTTACAGATGAGGAAACCAAGATCCCAAGAATCAAAGGGGCCTGCCCAAGGCCTCAGAATGAATGAGGGTGAGAGCCAGATCCCAGCCCAGTGGGGCATGACTTGGGAGCTATGTGCATTTTCCTCCCAGCTGATCATTTGCAACCCCAGCCCCATCATACCTCCTCACATCCACCCACCTCCTCTAGGAAGCCTTCCCTGACCACACCAGCCCACCTGGATCTGTGCCCCAGGTGACCCCCTACCCCTGTGACTTCCACATCTGCAGCCAGCCCGGGAGGGTTTATATTTCTCTGCCAGGCTGAGTCTCAGCTCTGCCACTTGCCAGTTGCATGCCCTTGGGCAGACTGTTCAGCTCTCAGCTTCAGTGTCTTCATCTGTTAAAGTGGCAATGACAGTATGTTAACAGTGCCGACTTCAATCAGCCGTTGTGACCTGATGACTTCAGTGTGTGATGGGAGCAGAGCAGTGCTGGCTCATGAGAAATGCTCAGCACAGGTAATGCCGCTTGCTGTCTGTCCTGGTGCTCCCGGCCCTTGGCACACAGCCGGCCCCGGCTTCCACTTAGCCTGGGTGGAGAATGCTGGGTTCTTGGAGCAGGGAAGGGACTGGACTGGCCACTGAGATGAGAAGCCAGTTTGGGAGCAATTAGGAAGGTCCTACAGGTGAAGGCAAGTGGACAGCAGATGTGGCCAGGGCAGCTCAGGAAAACTCTGGTTCTCCCTGGCTCAGGGCCTGGGAGGTTTTCCCAGTGGGACCCCAAAGGAATGTGGGGCCTGGGTATATGGCCTGGCTAGGTCCCTGAACTTCCTACCCATGGGCTCTGTCTGTGTTGAGGCAGGGGCATGGCCCTCAGGGTCCAGGTTGTTATGGCCAGCTGTGAAGCTCTCACTGTGCCTTAAACATGCCACCTGGGGCTCAATTAACTGGTGTTGCAAACACTCTGCCAGAGGCCTGTCTGGCCAGGGACTCCCAGGGAAGGGACAGGCAGGCTGATCCACCTGCTACTATGGTCCTGGCTTTTCCTTGCAGCCACTGAGGGCTCCTCTTGAGGGCTCAGTGATGTCACTTCAAAGCCAGGCTCTGGGCACAGGCTAAGGTTTGGAGTCATACTCAGTCTGAGGCTGTGTGAAATCAGGGCTGGACAAAGCTGATTGTTCTCACGGTCACTCCAGCAGCACTGGCCTCTCTCCTGTACCCAAGTCCTCAGCTCAGGCTCTGTCTCTCTTCCTCTCCCCTTTGGGAGCCAGCATAGGGATCTGTGATCTCTGGGGGACCCCAAGTCATGGACCAGGAAACCCCACTTGACCTATTGTTCAGATGCACTTTGAATATGTTCATAGCTTAGTCCTGGGGAACCCGAGCAAACACACGAACCTCTGGGGATCCCCAAGTTGGACATATCAGGAGTGTCTTCCATGTGTCTGTGAATCTGTGCACGAGTCTATGTATCTGTAGTGTGAGCATTTGGATACCATCTTCCTGCCTGGTGTATATTTGTGTGTCTGTTTTGGGTCTGTGCTAGGATATCTACTGTGGTTCCAGGGTGTGCTCTGGAATCTGCCTTTGCTCCTGGGGTTGTATGTGTTTACCTGTGAGGGCTTCTGTGAGGGACATTTGCACGTGTGTCTGGGTGTGTGTCTGTGCTTGTTTTTGTAGCTATGTACTTGGGTGATATTGTGCTCTGCATGGACCCCAGGGGTGTGGTGAGCCCCTGCATGTGTGCTTGCTTGTCTATCTTGGACTTGTAATCAGGTCTGGGTGGGTGAGCGCCTCTGGGAGGCATTTGCCTGGTTCTGTGTATGTCTGGTGTCTTGTCTGTGCCTCCCTCCTTTCCCTCCCCATGGGCCATTTTCTCTTCGGGCTCATGCATGCACCCCAGCTGGGATCCAGAATCCCCCATTATTGTGACTAACAAATAAGGGCGCCCCTCCCACCCCTAATGCCCATTCCCCAGCTGCTGACTGCCAATGTATTGCTGCCTCTGGGCTTCCCTATGGGGGATTCTTCCAACCTCACCAGCTGGCTGATCCTGTATGGTGGTGGCACAGGGACCAGCGTCTGTTCTGTCACTTTCCTCTGGTCCTCCTTGGCCAGTTCCCAGCCCCACTGTGCTTTCCAGGGTCTCTACCCCAGTTGCCTAAGCTTTTCCTGAATGAGCAGGGATTCTTGTGATGATCTCAGTGGCCTTTGAAAGAGCCTTGCTCAGGCTTCAGGCATCTGTGGCCAGCTGAATATCACTCTCTCTCTGTTTTTTTTCAGAACATTCCCACTGCCTGGGATATCCTTTTTATTTTCTCTTTATCTGGAGAATGCCCACTCATTACAGGCATCCCCTCAGTGCCTCAGTTTCCACATCACTAAAATAGGTACAGCAATGCTTACCTCAGAGTGTTGTGGGAGGTTAAATAAGGTAATGTGCCTGGAACATGGTAGGTGCTCAATAAATGCTCATTTCTTTTCCCAGAGCCAAGAACGAGGGAGGGAGACCTTGATGATTTTATAATATGCTCACATTCAAGCTCACCTTGTTGTTAAAAAGCAGAGGTGCAGAGAAGCCCAAACCTTGACTCATCTAAGATCACAAGGTAAGCAGGAGCAGAGCCAGATTGAGCCCAGGTCCCCTGATTCCCAGCCCAGGGGTCTTCCCATCTCTCCCTGCAGCATAGGACAGGCTGGGGAAGTCACTTCTCCTCTCTGGGCCTCTGTAAAATGATTGCCTTAGAGTGACTGACCTTGGAAGGCCCTTCCTGCTCACGAGACGGCAGCATCAGCAACATTGTCTCCACCTCACTCAGTGGCTAGGATGTGCTGAGTGCTAACCAGCTGCCTCCAGATCCTGTGACGTGTGCCCAAATTGGGGACAGATGGTAGGAACAGGAAACGCCCAGGGACTGACCCTTGGTTTAAACTCTGTAGCCACTAGCCCAGGGTGCCCAGCCCACCCACCAGCCTGGGCCCCGAGCCCACCTGTACAACTGCCCCTCGCTGCCCAGCTGGAAAAGCTCATACTGGGCATGGGCCTCTTTGCCTTCCCAGTCTTGCAGCTCCACACGCAGAGAGTAGGCTCTCTTGCTGGTGAGCTGGTGCACCACCTCGTTGCCCAGCCAGTGCTCCCCAGCCGGGTTACCGAAGCCCTAGGAGGAGAGGATGGTGAGGGTGGGCTGTATGCCGAGGAGGGAGGCTATCCTCAGGCTGAGAGCTGGGCTGGGCCAGGTCTGGGGCCACTTATCCAAGACCGCTTTGGTTAATATCAAGTTCATGAAGTACAGTGTGGGCAGACTTGGGCAGAGGGGAGCTCCCCAACTCCTAGAGCAAAAAGACTAGGACTTTGGCAAATGCAAAAGCCAGTTTAAAATGATTGAATTAGCTCAGCTGGTGCGGGTCAGCCTTTGAGCATTCACCTAGGATCCAGGAGATCATGGTCCGATTCCCAGTCAGGGCACATGCCCGGGTTGTGGGCTCGATCCCCAGTAAGGGGTGTGCAGGAGGCAGCCGATCAGTGACTCTCTCATCATTGATGTTTCTATCTCTCTCTCCCTCTCCCTTCCTCTCTCTGAAATCAATAAAAATGTATATTTTAAAAAATTAGAGATTTTAATCAACTGCACAAATGGTAGAGCAGACTTCATTCAGTGACCTGGAAGCCACTGTAAAATTTCAGCAACATAGAAACGTAAAGAAAAGGGAGTCACGGGTGTCTTAGGGTGACAAGAAACCAAGGTCCTCGGCCAGAACAACAATTCAGCACCACGGACAGGGCACGCCTAAGCCCCTCCCCATTTCAGTCTCATGCCGCTGATTAGTTTAACGGTCAATATGCAACACACTTTTGTGTATTTCTGCATCTGAGCACCCTGTATCTCTTGGCTATTTTAAAGACTGTTTAAAACTCAATAGGTCCAAGAACACTCATAGCTTAATTTGGTATTTATTTTTAAGTATTTATCAAATGGACAGCAAACAGGCACGAAAGATAGTATTATTGTCTTTCCTTGTGGGTATCTTTGTTCATTTCTTTTGCTTTTGAAAACTTTAAGAGCTTTTCAATCAGCTTGCCCAAAACCCTTTATTCAAAATTTAATTTAAAAAATTGGAAGACAACTGAGCACTATTTCTCATCTTGTAAAATGCACATGGTCTCTGAGCCAGCAATTCCACATTACAGGACCTCTCCTGCAGATGCGGTCACATATGTGTAAAAGACAAGAAAATGCACTTAAGCAATGCAGCCAGGGGTGGGAGAGGGAGATTACTATTTTTCTGTTCCCTTTCTTTGTATTCTTTAAACTTTTTTTAAAGCAATGTATATACATCATCTTTTCTAAAAATTAAAACAAAAAGAAAGTTAAACTTTCATTATTAAGATATATGTTAGAACTTGCAAAAAGAAGGTTCAGCTTCAGTGCATGGAGTCCCTGAAAGTGAATGTGCACTGAGAAAACTGGTTTGAAGGTGGTTGGTTTTAGGTGGGCTGATTTTTTCTGGGAAGAGTTAAAGGCAAATCATTCCCCTGTTCAAAACCCGCCTCCCACCCCAGGTTTCAGGGCTGAAAAGCCCCTCCTCAGGGCAGCAATGTTACCTGTTTATAATCTTTCCAGTTCCGCTGAAAATTCACGCTGCCATTGAAACGGCGCTGGATGAGGGTCCATCCACCTCCGATGGCATCCAGGTCACAGAAAACCTGAGGGAATTGGTGAGGGGAGGGGGTTGGGAGCCCTTGAGGCAGCCAGAAGCCAGGTATGGGCCCGCTCAAGTGTGACCTGATTAACAAAACCTCACGTAGCAACAGGTGAGCCTGGTGGTCAAGGGCATCAGAACAATCCAGGCTCAAATTCCCCACCCATTTTTCTAGAGGGCAAGTGATGCCCTCTCAGAGCCTTTCTTTCCTCATTTGTAAAATGGGATATTAATGCCTTAACCTCCTTGTGCCTCAGTTTTTCATCTGCAAACCGGGCTTGTTGTGAGAATTAAATGAGGTGAATCATCTAAAGAACAGAGCCTGACACATACTAGGAACTAAATAAATGCAGCTTTTCACTCGCTATTATTGCAGGGTTGCTGTAAGGATTAAACGCTAATAGGCTAAAGTGCTTGGCGCACACTATAGACTCAAGAAATGCTGTTCCGTTCAGTGGACAAATGTTTTCTGAGCACTTCCTATGGGCCGGGCTCCATTCAAAGCACTGGATGCCAATATGGGTAAGACAACAAGAGTTCTTTCTCTCAAAAAGCTTACCATTGATGACAATCACATCTTTTGGTCTAACCTTTGTTCATATATTATTTTTTCCAATTCATTAAATGATTAATGTCCAGTGAGGACAAACTTGGTGCCTAGCCCTGGGTGAGAAGAGTCAGAGACAAATCAGATATAAATCGACCCTCGACGTTGACTTGGTTTGGAGGAGGCTAGGATAGTGCAGGCAGACTACTGATGAAAAACATTGGGACAGTTACAAGGAGAGCCCTCAGAAAGGAGTCACTGGAAAACCTTGGAAGGCTTCCTAGAGGAGGTAGCATTGGAACAGGGCTTTGGCTAATAATGTGCCTGCCAGGTAGAGATGAGTCTGACATTTCCAGTGGAAGGAACAGCAAGAGTAGAGGCTCTGAGATGGTAAAGGCCTGCTCAGTGAGAGAAGACAGTGACATCTGTTGTGAGGGTAGCAGAGGGTGCAGGAAGGAAAACTGAGGCCCAGAGAGGGGAAGGGACTTGCTCAAGACTAGTGAGTCTAAAGTAAAGCTGAGGTTTGAGCCCAGATCTCTTGCCTCCCAGGCCAGCTCTTCCTTCTCTATCAGTGTCCCCAAATTTCAGCCATTCACATCTTCCTAGATTCCACTAAACCTGAATTTATTTAATTTCATATAGAATATTTACTTTAAAAAATGGTATCTCCCCTTTTTTACTTATATAATTACTTAGGCTAAAAAGACATCATACTGTAAGTGGAAAACTGGTAACATAGCCTTTGTTCAGACAATTGTAAAAGAAATATAATAAAAAAAATAGTGTTATGAAATTCTAGCTAGAAATTGAGAGCCTGATCTCTCTTTGTTAAAAGGGGAGTCTGGCAGGTGTGTTAAAGACAATCTGGAAACAAACTGAGCCATTCAGATATATTCAGAAGGGTTGGAGGGAAGTGGGAAAGGGAAGCATGAAGTGTGAAGACTGGTGAACTGTTCCCCATACTCTTCCCCTACTGGGCCTGGCCCCCAAGCCCTCCTTCCTGACCTCCACACTTTCCCTTGACTCCCCTCCCCATCTGATAATTGGACCTCAAAGCTCAGGGCAACCTTAGGAGCCACTCATTGAAGACAGTCCCTAATTTCCCACGTGGAACAGAGAGCCCCCACTCCTGCCTTCAACTGACTATATGTAAACTAGAAATAAACTTCTGTGTGTTAAGACCCTGGAATTTCAGGGTTTGTGTGTTACAGCAGCTAGCATTACCTTAACCAACACAGAACTATTTCCTGCAAGTCCAACTTAAAAGCATCTCTGGAGAAGAGGCACGAGAGGGATGCACTTCCAACTTTGGGAACTTCTGCTTCAGCCCCATGATCTGACCCCTGGATGGGTAGGGGCTCCAGAAGGAAGGGCTGCCCCACCTGTTTTTGGAATCTAAGATGTTGGACAGGCCTGAAGTTGATGGGGGAGGGGGATTTGTCTGCGAGGCCCTTGGCTCAGTACCTCTGATAGCCTCAGCCCCCAGGGAGCCCCCTGACCTTCCTGGGCTCTGTCATATTGGCCACATGGATGGTGTAGACGCCACTGGCATTGGCCCCGGAGCGCTGGATCTCTGCACAGTCCCGGAACACCTGCTTAGCTGCCCTCATGGAGGCTGCAATGGGACAAAGCAAAACAACTGCAAGTGAGCTAAGAAGAGAGGGAAGAGGCCAGGTGGGTGCTCCTGCCTGCTCTGTGCCAGGTTCTGGGTTGGGAGGTGCTGGGGACAGGGAGATGAATCAGACCTGGGAAGGTTTCCTAGAGGAAGTGACAGTGAGCTGGGACCTGGCTAAGGAGCAGGAGTTGCCCAAGTGGCTAAGGAGAGGGTGTTTCAGGCAAAGGGAACAGCATATGCAAAGGCTCCAAGGTGGGAACAGTTCTGGTGTATGCAGGGAACAGGGTGCTGTGTGGGGAACTGAGTGAGGCCAGGAGGGGAAATGCTCACACCATGAGAACTGGTCTGAGGCCAGAGAACGCTCTGGTTGTTTATCAACCTGAGAGGAGTAAGGCAAGGCTGGCTCAGAGAGGGTCACCAAAGAAGGACACATGAGAAGAGATTTGTCCTTGGAGCTCCCTTGGGTGGGAGGCGCAGAGTCCCCTCCACAGTCCACCCCTCCAGCTGGATATCCTTGCAGGCCTGGAGATGGGCCCCTCATGATGCCCCCGCTGGCAGTTGACCATTGGTCTTAAGAGCCCATGTTTCTTCCCTCAGGAGAATATTAATGACTGAATCGCACTAGCACCCTGGAAGCCTCAGGCCTGATCTGAAAAAAGTGACTGTTGACAAGTAGACAGGGATTCAAATTCTTCTCTCGGCCTCCTTTCAGTGGGATCCAATTAGAGGTCTGAGCTAAGAGTCCACCAGAAGCCAATCTCTAGGTAGGTGGTTACCTAAGGATGGGGCAAAAATTCCAGATGGATAGGTATCCTCCCAATGAGGAACCAGGAGGCTACCAGGGGCAGGACTTCCTGTTTTGACCTCCTACTTGAACCTGGATCCCAGGTCCTGGAGCTGGGGCACCTGTTAGAAAGAGGTAGTTTTTCCTAGATCACAAATGAAATGACTAAGGCCCCAAATCCTCCATGCATAAACATTCCCCGGGCAGGGTCTCCATGTCCTCAGCTCTCGGCACCCTAGTGCATGGGAAACTGCAGCCCAGCCAAGCCTGGGGAAGTGCCAGCCCAGAGGTGAGCAGGCCCAGGCCCAACTGTACCCAGCCAGGCGAGGGCAGAGCTGGGAGTTGGTCTCAGATTTCCAGCCAGCCTTCCCAAGGCTCTGTCTGCTATTGTCTTCCTCAATCAACGACATGGTGATAACAACAGCAATAATAACAATGAAAGTGAAATATCCACTATGCATTGTGGTGTTTCTGAGCCAGGTGCTGCTAGGGGCAGTTTGGGGCCAGGAAAAATATTTTCGGGGGTATAACAGTAAAGATGGGCTGGTATTGATATGCTACATAGTTTGGCCCTGGCCTGGGTCCCTTTGAGTCTCTAGGCCAGTAATTTGTACAGCTTTGTCCAATTTCGGTCCTAGGGACTGTGCTCAGCCCCTTCATGTGCATGAAGTTATCTGTTCTCTGTGCAAGATCTCTGTGAAATAGGTGCTATTATTCTCATTATATAGGTGAGGAAAATTGAGGCTGTAAGACATTAGATGACTTGGGCGCCGTCCCAGTGCTAGTAAGTGAAGAAGCCAGAGCTTGAACTCTGGTCCATCTGACTGCAAAGCCCCTGCCCTTCCTACTACCACCTCCCCTTGGGTCTCCACCACTGAGCCCACATGAGGCCCAGCAAACAGACCATGATGACGAATGCTGCTTCTGATTCTGTGCATGCGTCAGGGGTTTTCCTACCTGTGTCTCTGTCCTAACCTGAATGCCCTGAGTTCTCCACCCATCGCCAGCCCTCCACCTCCCCAAGACAAAGCAATGAGGGGGTGGG